GGTTTAGGGATGGGGTGTAGACTTTAATAATTTTGAAAGTTGGGTTTAGGGTGAGAGATGGGTTTAGGGTTGGTGTGGACTTTATTAATTATAAGAGTTGGGTTTAGGGATGGGGTGTAGACTTTAATGATTATGAGAGTTGGGTTTAATGTAGAGGGAAGTTTATTATATCATTCATTCATTCATTCATTTTCTTGTCAGCTTAGTCCTTTTATTAATCCGGGGTCGCCACAGCGGAATGAATCGCCAACTTATCCAGCAAGTTTTTATGCAGCTGATGCCCTTCCAGCCGCAACCCATCTCTGGGAAACATCCACACACACATTCACACACTACGGACAATTTAGTCAACCCAATTCACCTGTACCGCATGTCATTGGACTGTGGGAGCACCGGAGCACCCGGAGGAAACCTACGCGAAGGCAGGGAGAACATGCAAACTCCACACAGAAACACCAACTGAGCTGAGGTTCGAACCAGCGACTCAGCGACCTTTTTGCTGTGAGGCAACAGCACTACCTACTGCGCCACTGCCTCACCCAAGTTTAATATATAATTAACTCCTATACCTAGAAACAACAGATCGCACATGCTGATCCACTATATTGGACCTGATTCAGTACATCATCGTGCTACAAGCTGCAGTGAGGACACATACACAAAATGTCAAACGGGCAATATATTTTACCTTTTGCAAAAATGCACTCTGTGGCACATAATTCCAATGAGCCTAGATTGCAACATACACTTTACAAAGTCAGTCTATTCTCAGTTTAAAACAAACCAGATCATATCCTTGCTCAAAAGATGCATTCAAAAGAAATTTCACCCTCATGTCTGTAAGAGCATCCTTACCAGAGAATTAAGTGTGGACCTTTGACAAGGGCCTTTTTAGGGGACACGTGTCTAATCTTTTCACTTCGCAAAGCACCTTTTATCCTCAAGTGAAACATTTCTCAAGGTTGTCTGTTTTACAGATCATGCATCCTGTAGCTCACAGGACACATTCCGGGCCTGCTCACAAAAAACGTTTTTCCTCTGAAGAGCAGCATCACTTGCATTTTTTTTCTGTTTGTGTGACAGGATGATCTGAATTTACTGCTCCAAATGTTCCATGAATCTTCTCAAGTCCTTGGTTTTTATTTATTAATTTATTTTTAATGATTGCTTGACAAATTTCAGGGAAACTCAGGATGAACTCAAATAAAAATATCTATCTATCTATCTATCTATCTATCTATCTATCTATCTATCTATCTATCTATCTATCTATCTATCTATCTATCTATCTATCTATCTTTCTATACTCACCAGTGTTTCAAATATTTAATAAAAGCATAAACTTTAAAGTAAAAAATGTTGAGAAAAATTACATATTTCTTTTTTAATACTTTTTTGTCATGAGTTGGCCACTTTGACCTTTGGTCCAGATGTTAGTTCTGTCTTGTCTTGTATGTTGTGCTCGACTCATGTTTTCTCGTGTTGAGCACTCAAATCTCCTGTTTTTGTGTCTGTATGAGTGCGATCTTAGCTGTCTTGGGCCGCGAGGTTCAGGTGGACTCTGGATGCTCTCGTATTTTGTGTTTGTTTCATTCGTGGCATGCTGGTTTTTTTTCAGCTCTTCAGTCTATTTGGTTTGTTTACACTTAGCCATGTGCTGTTGTGTTTATGTGAACACACGGTTAATGGGTTGTCTCGTTGGTGTTTTCTGAGATAAATAAATCTCATTTCTTGCATTCTGGAGTCCTCCCATCTTCCCTTCTCACCCCAACAGTGACACTTTTTAACCAGCCCTTACTATCTGTACAACCAGCGCAGGACAAAGAAAGTACAGATGCAAAAGTTGACTGATCTACCACAGTGGTAGATAAAATATTAATGAAATTTCCCTTAATTCCTCTTTCCTGTATGGCTCATCAGTTCCAGTTAAGTCATAATGAATTAAGAGAAATCCAGAACAAGTAATTGATCACCAGATGAAATTTGTCAATGTGATTCAGGATGCATGAGATTTTCATAACTGTATAAATGGTTTTAAACTCATATGCTCATGGAAGGTCACGCTGCTCTGTTTTGCATTATCAATTTCCCCAGTCAGTATTTAATCGATGACAAGTCTCTCATTATTTATGTAACTAAGTTCTAATCTATGTTCTGTCCACTCCCCAGGCAAGATGTCTTTACTGTGCGTATTTGTTTGTGAGGATCCCATTCAAAACAGGCTTAGACATTAAAGGAACGCCACTTACTTATTTTACAAGTTCCCCACAAGCGAAACAGTAAAGTTTTACCATTTTTTAATACATTCAGCCGATCTTCATGTTTATATACATATATAATGCCACATCCAACCATAGGTCAACAAGTCTAAGTCCAGTGTCAGCTCCAGCCCCAGAGTGCCGTTGTGTTTCATGTGAACTTACAGTTATGGGGTTGTAATACCCCATATATGTTATACTCCTGTTTTACGTAAGCCCATGGCTTTTGTTGTTTTTGTGTCATGTGCTCTGTCTTTTGTCTTGTCCCACCCTCCTTGTTATCCAATTAATTGTTTATTCTGTTCACCTGTTTGTTTCTTAATTTGTTTTCCTTTATAGCACCCTCTTGTCTGCTGTCCTGGGCCAGTTTATTGTCTTCCATTTGATGTGTTGGAGTTATCCTGTCTTGTGTCTTGTCCTGCCTTGCCAGCCCAGTTTGGTGTGGTTTTCCCCCTCCTGGGTAATTTCTGTTTGTTTGATTTGTTTTTTTCTAAGATGAATAAATCTCATTTCTTGCAATCTGGAGTCCTCACCTCTTTCCTACACCCCAACCATGACAGAATGAACTGGCTGTTGAGGAGTGTTGCTATGATGTAGAGTAGACTGGAGCTCCAGCGAAGTTTGGAGTGTGTTCGCCAGGATGGCCTGGAGGTAACAAAATTTGCCCAATGTTTCTGGACTATGGCCTGGGCTCTGGAGTACAATGATGCTACCCTAAAGAAGGTCTTCAACTGCTTCTTGGACAAACCCCCACCACAGTGGGAGATGCAACAACTCACAATGCTGAACTTTGGATCTTTTCCAAATACTTACACCACTGTAAGGACTGGGATATCAGGACTGCCACATCCAACCATGAGTCACCAAGTCCAAGTCCAGTGTCGGCTTTAGCCCCAGAGTGCCTGCCAGTGTTTGCTCCAGCCCTAGATCATCCGCCAGTGTCAGTTCCAGCCCCATAGTGCACACAAGTGTCGGCTCCAACCCCAGAGCTCGCACCAGGGACTACTCCTGACCCAGAGCGCAGTTCAGACCCTGCTCTGCCCAGGCTCCTTGTCCTGGTCAGTCCCATCCTGGTTTGTTCCTCCCTGGATGGTCCTTTAGGTTCACACTGGCCCCCTGCCGGGGTCCCTGACCCGCTGAACTTTCCCTGGACTGTCCCTCTGGTACTACCGTGGACTGTCCCTCCTGACCTGGCCCGAATTAAGAATTCAGAGGCCCCTGGGCACAATGTCTTGTAGGACCCCTACCAGGCCACTATAGTTGAATTTAAAATAAGATTATTGTAGTATTTTTTTTAAATAAAATGAATCTGTAATGTATTGCGCGCATGTTTTAAATAAATGATATAGTACATAAATTTCTTGTTTACAAAGATTTAACTTATTTTTAAAGCATTTAAAGCATAAAGTTGTAGAAGAACAAGTTCATCAGATGCTGGATTCGAACTGGTTTCATGATGATCAATCACATCAATACATGTTGCCATGCGTTTTACGATCAAATGGTGATGGTCATGAATCAAGGTTATTCCAACGAGGTGCGCTATTTACACATAGCCTAAATAGACAATCCAAAATCGGCATTTCCCCCCTTCGCAGGGGCCCCATGTGCGCACGGGCTCCGGGGCCTGTGTCCATAATGCCTATTGGTTTATCCGGCCCTGCACCTGACCCTTCTTATGGGGTTATTTCTGTTTGTTTGTTCTGAGTCCTAGCCTCTTCCCTTCCCACCCCAACCATGACACTTTTTAAGCAGCCTTTACTTTTGTTGTCAGTGTTATATCTTCCGCAAGAAATCATATAACCATATTACTAAAACAATCAGTGACGATACTACAGACATAATAATAATTCTCTATATTGTAATAATGAATAAAATAGAAAAAAAACATATTATAACAATTAAACTAGTTATAAATCTTTTCAGGCGACGCAGTGGTGCAAGAGGTAGTGCTGTCGCCTCAGAGCAAGAAGGTCCCTGGTTCGAGCCTCGGCTGGGTCAGTTGGCATTTCTGTGTGGAGTTTGCATGTTCTTCCTGCTTTCGTGTGGGTTTCCTCCGGGTGCTCCGGTTTCCCCCACAAATTCAAAGACATGCAGTTCAGTTTAATTGGGTAGGCTAAATCGTCCGTAGTGTATGAGTGTGTGTGTGAATGAGCGTGTATGGATGTTTCCCAGAGATGGACTGCAGCTGGAAGGGAGTTGGCAGTTCATTCCGCTGTGGTGACTCCAGATTAATAAACGAACTGAGCCGAAAAGAAAATGAATGAATGAATAAATCTTTTCAATCAGAAATTCTAACATATACTGTACTTTTACCATTCAAGAGCTTATATTATAAAATTGTATTTAGTTGTAGCACCGTTATTTAAACAGGTCACTGATTTTGTTTGTCACAAAAACAACAGGTATCAATATGTTACAATTCCTAATACAGAAATCATTGCTAATGTTAATCATTGCTAATGTCAAAAAAAAAAAAAAAAAAAAACTGCAAACAATATTTAACAGACTTTGGTTTGTTGGCAAACATGAACAATGACTTATCACTCTCTTCCAGGTATAGGTTACATCACACTACCTCGAAAGATGATGTTGTAGTATTTTATCAAAAGATGATGATTAGTGGTGATGACGGTAGTGATGATGATGCGTCTGCAGGAAACACAATTAGTCCAGCTGTTCTAGCTTCCGCTCCAGAGCCGAACGAGAGACAGCATTCAGGACTCGTCCCAGCATCCCATCACACACAGATCAGCAGGATTACAAACACACCGACGCGGTTTCTCCAGACACTAATCGACAAAAGCAGGATCTCTGAGGTACACCAGCCGGAGTAACAGCTCTCGAGGCCTGCATGGATGTGTTTGTGTAGCGGTCAGTGATGTAGCCAGAGGTGTTAGCCGTCATGCTAGCTGTCATGCCATCTGTTTTCAATTCAGTGTTTCCATTCCTCCACTAACGTTAATCGACATGCAAACACGATTATTCAATTTCACGCTTTTTCGTTTTTCCATAAAACCACGTCTTATCGTTTGCTTCGATCTCCGATTAGCATAGTGTTTACATGGTTGACTAGCATAAAGCTCTGTGTAGCAGATGCATGCCAGGAAGATTAAGTTAGCCCTGTTTTAAATTTATTTAGATATTAGCGGTAATGTACTGATTTGTTATTGCTCTAAAATGAGTATGTTTAGGAGTTGTCTGTTTCTTAATGCAAATTGTGAGCATTCTGAATGCCAAATAGGCATTGAATCCAGATCTACACTGTACTGTTTTGACAAATGAATGAACCGTTTTGTTCCAGTCTCGTATTGTTCACTGAATGTTGAATCTATCCGTTTCAGTTTAGTTCTTCTCTTTATTCTACTCAGTGATTTTGTGATTGTCATTAGTTTAGACTGAGTTATTATTTAAACAGAAAATCAAGGCTATCTAATTTCCTGAATTATGTAAGCCCCATCATGTGTGAGGGATCTCAGTGTTTCTTTTAGCTGTTCGCTGACCTGTGCTTTTCATATAAATCATTTAGTGGCAGCGATGAAGAAAATGCTGGAATGATGCCTAACCTGTTGGTTTTGTTTATGAGCTGTTCCGTGACAACATGAAGCATGTGGAGGTTTTAATCAGTGGGGTCACTTGTTATGTCTGTAAACAGTTTGCTGTCAGCATGCTCATTGTGGATCTGGTGGTTTGTATTGACAACAGCAGGGACAGATTTCTGCTTTCAGTTTCCCTTGTTAACATTTCCAGTCCACATGATTGTCCATTCCATTGATGCATTTGCGACCCTGGATGAGAAAACCAGTATTATGTTGTTACAGTAATTTTTTTTTGTCTGGTTCAGAGTTATAAATATTTATTTCATAAACTCATGTTCCATGACAATATTTTGTATATGTCCTATATCAAAAGTAATAATGTGCATCGAAGAACTTAATTTGAGCAGTTATAAAGGTGGTAAGTTTTCCATTATTATTTTAACTCTTCAGATTCCAGATATTCACACATATCTTTGCAAATATTGCTCTATTCTAGCAAAGCATATATCAATGGAAAAGCCTATTTACATAACTTACAGATGATGTATACATTTCAGTTTTAAAAATGACACGTATAACTGGTTTTGTAGTCCAGAGTCCCATCTATCTATCAGTCAATCAGTCCATCCATCCATCCATTCATCCGTCCATCCATCCATTCATCCGTCCATCCATCCATTCATCTGTCCGTCCATCCATCCATCCATCCATCCATCCATCCATCCATCCATCAATCCATCAATCCATCAATCCATCCATCCATCAATCAATCCATCCATCCATCCATCCATCCATCCATCCATCCATCCATCAATCCATCCATCCATCAGTCAGTTCATCTATTCATTAATCAATCAGTTAATCCATCCATCCATCCACTTGACTATTGCACATAGTTTTTTTTATTAAATTATTATAGTATTATAATTAATAAACAGTTTTTAAAAGATTTAAATCACAAAATGAAAGTCATTTAGACCTATTTTTGTCATTCCAATTTACGGTCTCAATAAAAAAAAGTCAATTTGATTTAAGTAACCAAACAGTCTATGATTGGATCTTTATTGCAGTGCTTTAATGGTTTCTGGTGTTGTGTTACTGTATGTGTTGAGCAGTGATTCTTTTAAACTAAACTGATGCTATTAAGGCTGCACAAAATATTGTTTCTGCATTGATATTGCAATGTGCGCTTCCGCAATAATCACAATGTTAAATCATACTTGACCACGAGCCACAGAACACATGTGATTTGTTGTCTCTCATGAGTTAAACCATAACAAAGTTTATTGTTTACATGTGTTTTAAGGCCTGTAACTGTGTAATTCAGGAGAGTTTGAATATTTGAGCACAAAAGTAGGATGTTTGGAGGTGTAACAGATTAGTTGTATTTAAATATTAATACGATTTATGTAACATTTGACTTGGACTTTTTGTCTTGTTTCTAGTTCTAGTAGTGAATTAGGCATTGGACGATATCCGTTTTCAAGGTATACCGTGGTTTAGAAAAGTCAAAGTTTTAAAACCATCACAATTTTCTGCAATATTGTTCCTAAGGTATGAGTAAAATTTTTCATTTATGTTTTTTTATTTATTTATTTATTATCATTTTTTTAGGACAGCAGTATCTCCAGCAGAAAAAATATCCAAAGATGCTGTTTTAAATTGTAAAAAAAAAAAAAAATCTGTTTTTGAAACAAATGAAGACAGCAGAAGTAAATAATTTATTTAGTCTGACATGTTTACTGTTTCAGAATATTTTAAATGTTTCTCAAAATAAAATATATTGTGATTAAAAAGGAAAAACTTTTCTTTTTTTATACCCAAACATTAAAAAATATATATTTTAGAGCAGTAATCACAATACCGTGATACCATGAGACCATGATATTTTTATCCAAGGTTATCATACTGTCGGAATTTTATATTAGCCCATGCCTTAGTCATTCATTCATTCATTTTCTTGTCGGCTTAGTCCCTTTATTAATCCGGGGTCGCCACAGCGGAATGAACTGCCAACTTATCCAGCAAGTTTTTACGCAGCGGATGCCTTTTTAGCCGCAACCCATCTCTGGGAAACATCCACATACACTCATACACTACGGACAATTTAGCCTACCCAATTCACCTGTACCACATAGGGTTGTAACGGTATGAATTTTTCACGGTATGATAATCGTCTAAAACAATACCACGGTTTGACGGTTTCGCGGTATACGGTATGTTACAAATGTTACAAAATAATAGAACAGTGAAGCAAATTTGACTTTTTCCAAATAATATATTTTTAGTTACTATAAACAACACCACTTACAATGAACAAATAAAAATAAGAAAATAATAAATAATGTGTCAAAATCCAAATAAAGTCCAAATAAACATGGTGCAAATCCTCAGTAAAAAATAGATATAAATATTTACTATACTATAAATAGTTACATAACGAAACTAGATTCAATATGGAACATCCTTAGGTTTTATGTGCCAGCATGGATATGGTTGTCTATGGATATGGATTTGGATATGGTTGTCTGCAATGCAGATAAACAGCTGCATCTTCATTTGCGTCTTTTGAAAACAGCAAGAGCAGCAGTTCGTCTTTGCTGTGTCACTGTTTTGTCATGTTTCTGTGCTGCTGTGCATGCAAAAGTACTTAGTATGTGAATTATTTCATGCAAAACTTTTTTTTTTTGGCGTTTTATTTAGCCGCGCATAAATGTATGCCTTTCTCTCATTCCGTGTTGTTCAAAAAGCTCAGTGTTGGTCCACAAACAAAAGTGAAACCTATGCTTATTGGTTGTGATATAGCGAGTTTGAACCAATCTGGGCATGGAGGAGGGACAATGCATCAATGTATCGTGTCTGGTTTGTCCGGAGACACAGTGACGAGCGTTTCTTTGTCAAATCAGCGTTGTCAAATTTTGATGACGTAACCGCACTGATTCCGGAGCCTCTGATAGTAATGTTATGTGATACAGCACTGGAAAGCTGAGATTCTCTTCTTTATGCCAATCTTTGAATTTTATGAATCGGATCAGCGGATCAAAAGTTATTAAACATTTAAGAGCAATACTTATTTTTAGCCGCGGGCGGCTGTCTCGGTCTTTAAGGGTTAAAACCGTTGATATGCAATTGTTCATGGTATGATAATCGTGCACGTTCAAATCGTGGTAAACCGTCATACCGGTATATTGTTACAACCCTAGTACCACATGTCTTTGGACTGTGGGGGAAACCGGGTGCACCCGGAGGAAACCCACGCGAAGGCAGGGAGAACATGCAAACTCCACACAGAAATGCCAACTGAGCCGAGGTTCGAACCAGCGACCTTCTTGCTGTGAGGCAACAGCACTACCTACTGCGCCACTTAAAATTTATTACTTTATTAGTAATTTATTACTTACTAAACTTAAAATTATTTTTCTTGCCCCATTGGCAGATATTTTTGCTAGTTTTAGTTTTGTTTTATAGAAAAACTCCTAATTTTGACTGGTTTCTTCTGAATGATATTTTTGCTTGATATAATAATTTAGATATTCGGACTAGAAATGAGACAAAGCAAAGCAATTTTTTTGCAATATCAGATTTTTCCATCATGCACATGCAGCCCTAGATTAAATTATTTCAACAACTCCGTCTGAAGACATTTTCTATAGAATAACAATTACATTCATAGTGCTCAGATTGAACCCCACTGAAAGTCTTTGAGATTCTGGAATAGACTTTACAGATTGATCCTCCTCATAGTCATTAGTGATTTTAAAGATCATATTTACAGTAGGCTTGGGGGGTAATATGGTGTACCGCGGGATCTAAAACTAGCAATGGTATCAGTTTCAATGCCGTTATACTATCATAAAAAAAATGCACCTATATAGGAGACAATGATTAAATATAATTTATTTAACGAGGTGGAGAGGTGAGAGGTAGGGAAAGATGGCGAGTAGCGCACCACGTGACATGGACTCGTAAAATAAACCATAACTTCTGCAGCTTGGCAGTATTTTGGTGTTTTGACTGAACACGAAAGTTGAGGTGGTAAATATGGATGAGGCAATTTGCAAATTGTGCAATGAAAAGAGGATCATAAGAGATGGAAAAACCTTGAACCTAAGGTCACATACATGGTATTCAGTTCACAAGCCAACAGTTTAATGACGCTACCTGAGCCCTACATAATAATTTTTTTTATTATGCTCGGTAATGTCGTATACCAAGGTAAAATAGGGAGTAGGTTTAACGGTACAAAAATTTGGATACTGCCCAAGCCTAATTTACCGGGTGGATCTGTCAAGGGAGTTTTTTCCAAAGTTGTATTGGGCATTTTTACAAATCTCTGTTAAGTGTTGCATCTTTCGTAATTTTCCTGATGAATCTTGGCATTGTCTTCTTTTAATGTTCATCAGTATTTCTTTCAACATGGTCATTTAAGAAATAACAAGCTTTTTTGTTATTTAAGAATTCTTGCCAGACTTAAAACAAGCCAGAAACAAAATAATCACTGCAACTAATTTTTTGGCTTACATCTAATGTGAGTGAAAATATGTATTATTTATTTATTTTTGTTCATGTATATTACATAAAATGAGAGTTTATAATGGAGCTATTTAAAATAAATTATTTAAGGGCTATATTAACAAATCAGAAATCTAATGTCAAATGGGGTGCATGTTTTTTTTTAATGTCTTTCCTGGGGGCCTTAATGTGTTTTTTCTCCTCATGTTTAATGTTGAAAGTGCATAGTGGAAAATTCTTCCGCAAGTGTTGTTGGGTACTTCTGTTTTTAAACATTGGCCTATAAAATGAACAGTTAAAACACAGAATCTGCTAATAAAAATATTAAAGTATTCTTTAGATACTTATAAAATTATATATTTTATCTCATTGAAATACACATTTTGCAGTTAAATGAGACCCTGGACCACAAAAAACTGTTAATGTTAGCGGGTTCTTCAGGGTCATTTTTTGAATATATAGATTTCCTGAAAGCTGAATATATAAGCTTTTTACTGGTGTGTAGTTTCTTAGGATTGGACGATATTTGCCCCAGACTGGACAATGTTGAGAAAAAACATGACATTGCAATGTTTTAATTTCTTGCAATATATATTGAAATAAGAATGTATTTAATCAGATGGCTTGACTTTGCAAAAATTCCATCATTTTAAATTGGCACACTTTTTAGGGTGATGATGTTCTAGAGCATAAAATATAATACAAATTACAAGCATGGATAAATAAAATAAAGCCAAGACACAAATAAATGTGTGTTTATGGTTTTCTGCACAGTCTAACTGTATTCTGGCACAGGAACTATATAATCAAACATAAATAAAAATATTCATGCTATAAAAAATAAACACTTCATTTTATTTAAAGCTACAAACATTATAATTTCTTTTACACAAATGGTTTAAATTAGCTTGAAATCTTACCACCAGAGAGGACCTGTTATGCACAAATCACATTTGTAAGGGGTTTAAACACAATTGTGTGGCAACTGTGAATATTACCAGCTTTTCATGGTAAAAATGTATTACTTTTATCTTTTATAATCACACTTGCAGAATGCAGAAACGCATTGACATTCTCCCTTTGTATGTGTCATCAGAGTGGGAGAACCCCGCCCATTAGTGACGATATCTCATTAGCATAGGGCATTAGTCTTGTTTTTGAATCTGCCACTATGCTAACACACAGGCATGTGTAGCTCCGCCCTCTTTTGAATCTGCCACTTTGCTGACATACAGACTGTGTCTGAAACGGCCTACTACTTAGTAGGTACTGCATTTTAATTTAAATGTACTACTCGGCCGTTAGAAAAGTACATTCCATCAGGGCTGGAGTGGGACTACTTTTCAGCCCTGGAGTTTCAAGCCTTGGACCGGCCCACCTCAATTCATAACTAACTATATTAAAATAATGTCATTTCCAATTCAGTTTCTAATGACACTTTCACATCTTTTTCAAGAAAACAGCTGCATTAGATTTTCAAATGTTCAACAACCCTAACAGTATTTTATGTCTTGTCTTAACAAAAAAAATGGAAGAAAAAAAAAATAAAAAAAAAATACTAAGGTGTGGTTCGAACCCGGGTCGTTGGCGTCGTAACGCAACATGCAGATCACTGCACCACAACGGCGCTGTTACGAATTGCTTTCTATTGATGACTTAATCTTTTTTCTCCCCTTTTTAGATTTCTGATGAAGTTATGTCAGGTTTATTAATGTAGTGAATCATCTGATTTTCATTGAGAAGGTGTATTGTTTATTAGTATTTATTATTCGAATTCCTATATACACTAAGGTGCCGCTGTTTGGAGTTAAATGATAGTTACGTCATCTTTAACCTGCAGGCTGCATTTTGCTCACAGGACTGCGACAAAATAAATAAAAAAGGGCAGAGCTGCGGCAAAATAATGAATAAAAGGAGTGAGGCTATGGTAAAAAAATAAATAAATGAAAAAAGAGTGTAAGCAGCTTGCGACACCGGCCCTCGCGGACAAAAAAAAACGGATCGGCCCATCGGGAATTCTCCCGGTCCTCCTGATTAGCCAATCCAGGCCTGTGTTCTATGAAGTATGAATGGAATTTGGATGTACTACATCTAACAATTTTAATGGTCACCTGACCTACCTGCATCAGTTGTGTCACTTCACTCCCATTCATGAATTCTCTCGCGGGGCATCAATGGACAGTGCAGCGTGCATGGGATGCGCACTTCCGAATCTCGCCGGAAGTAGTTGGTAATCTGGGTACTTCTCGCATACTGATTTTCGAATTCTATAAATTCAACATACTACTCTGCTCGCTTACTGATTTTAGCGTACTGTACAGTATGGAAGTATGCAGTTTCGGATGCAGCCACAAGCATTTTTAGCTCCCCGATCTTTTGAATGCGCTACTATGCTGACACACAGGCATTTGCAGCTCCACCCTCTTTTGAAAAGAGCACAATCTCAATTTGAATTTAAAGGGACAGTCACCAAAACTGCACAGTTTGGATCAAAGCCTATTGACCTTATTCTAAAATGCGGAAGTGCGCCTGTTTTCGCGATTGTCTTAGAACTTCCGTTTCAGTCGCCTATGGGAGAAATGACAAGGAATAATAAACGGCAAAAAACGGTCAAACTACTTGCTCTACAAACAAATGTTTGCATGACTATACAGACCAAGTAGAATAATATAACAAGGAAATATCAGTTTGCAACACCAAACAGCGAAATGAGCAGTTTTTAATGTCTAAAAATGAATGGAAGTGAATGAGACCGGAAGTGTCGTGCCAAAAAGATTCAAATGGCAGCGCCCGCTCGTCTGCGGAGAATAAGGTCAATAAGGGGCAGTTTCAGAGTTATGAAATATGATTTTTGAGGTATTTTGAGCTGAAATTTCAAATAAACACTAAAGGGACATCAGAGATCTATTTTACATTTTGTAAAAAGTGGCATAATAGGCCCCTTTTAAAACACTTATTAAGCCGCTTTATTAAGGTTAAACTTCACATTGACTCCACAACTGTGGTGCTGAATAACTAATGTGGACACGCACATTTCGATGTTAATGCTGAAACTATGCAACTATTATAAAACATGGAATATGAAATCTCAAGAATACAAAGTACCCAATATATTGAGAAAAATCATCTTTAAAGGTGTAAAAATTTAAAGGGCTTAACTATGAATATTCCTAATAAAATAAAGTAAAAATACAATTTGCTATATTTACCGTAGGACATTTTCAAAGTTTCTTCAGTGAACATTTATTATATATTATAAGCTTTACTTAAAAATTAAATATTTTTTGGTGGAATAAAAGAAAAATCAGTGGGTCAGTTTAGGGCCAAACAAAGTTTTTGTGAACAGTAACCTCTGCAACAGTTAATTTTTATGGTTTAATGAAATCATTCTAATTCATATGGTTCCTCCTTACTGTCTTACTGGTTAAATGTAGGCTAACTGGTTAAATAAATAACTGTGATTATGGGTAAGGTATCTTCTTACCAATATTTGTTATAAAAATAAATAAATAGTAAGAGAGAATTTGTTTTTGTCAGTATCACACGCCCATGCTTGAAAGCTGGATTGGTCTCAGTGGATGATGGTTAGATTCTGTGTCCTTATATCTCTGTCTCTGCACTTTTATTTACCTTTCTTCGTTCTCTTTCTCTTGAACCTCATGTCTCCTTCTCCTCCCTCCGTCTCGTTCCCTTTCCCCAGCCTCTCTTTTCCCACTCCTGCTTTCTGGAACGCTCTCCTGTGCTCCTGGATAAAGGAGAAGCCATTTTCCAGCAGCTCTTCCAGCAAGAGAAGCAGAGAGCAGTCTCAGAGAGGACAGTGGACTCAATGGTACTAGACATAAAGTTTCAGTTGACTATGTTTGACAGTGGCTAGAGGACGGAAACAGCTTTATTGAAATGAACACTGAACTTAAAAATAAAAACAAAACAAAAACTACGCAAATTTTTCTAACTAAACAAAAATTCTTTATGGTTAAACAGTTTTACCATTTTTAAATCCATTATCCGATGTTCAGGTCTGGCAAGAACACTTTTAGCTTAGCTTAGCATAGATCATTGCATCGGATTAGACCATTAGCATCTCACTCAAAAATGACTAAAGATTTTTGATAATTGTCCTTTTTAAAGCTTAACTGTTCTGATGTTACATTGTGTACTAAGTTGCTTTTTTTCTAGCCTAATGTGATTTGAAACTATAGTCTCATTCATGGCTTGATAATTAAGCAACTTGAAAAAGATGTTATCCAGCTGCTTAAAATATTATCTATCTAGGTACTGTAACTTTCAATGTGACCACCTGCTTGAACATGGATCGTATGCCAGTCGCACTGCATAATATCATTGAGCGTACTTCAGTCATGGTGTGGTAGCAAGATTCCTTGATCATTACGCTAGAATGAGGGTATAGTTCCTAGTCATACCATCCTAGAAAATAGCATTTTTCCATTTTATGTCAGTCTTAGAACCGTCTGCAGAATAGTCAGGCTTCAAATAGGAAAAGTATTTAAACTCTTGAGGGAGATGATATTAGTCTAATACGATTTAATGGTTTATTTTAAGCTAAGCTTAAAAGTACTACTGCCAGACCCCGAGATTGGCTGAATGGATTTAAAATGGTAAAACACAACTGTTTACCTCTAGGGGACTTTTTTAAAGGAGTGTTTTTCTTTTGTTAAAGAAAAGAATAGTATAAAAATAGCATATTGTGGTATTTTTGTGTCATGTTTTGTGACATTTACAGTTTAAATGTGACATCTGTTCAAGGTCATTTATTATTTAGATGAACACCTTTTTAATGAATGCTCGCTAAATCTATAGCGAAACTATATCCAAAGCCAAACTACTTGTTTCAGCAGAGTTACAGTTCGGCTGTTTAAAGTGTGTAGTTTTTCAATTACCAAAATTATTTTTCTCAGTGTCAGTTCTTTTTTTCCAGTGTGACTGCTACATCTTAGTGTTTTATCTCATATTGTGTTTTGCATTAGTCACTCCCCCAGTCAGAATGACTCAAGTGGTGCTGGGAAGACTGATTCATGATATCATCACTGTAGTATAATTGAGTAGTTTTACATTTATTCCTGGCTCCTCCATGCTGTATAATGGTGTTGGTTAGTGGCCCTTTTTTGAGGCTTCCAAAAGTGCATAAATTCGTTGTAAAACTAAACCCGTACACCAACAGGGGGTTAACACGTTTGACTTTTGATAAAAATTTGATTTGTTTTACGTTTGATGTTTGATTAAAAAAGCTCAGATGTTTAAAATTTTTGAAACTATCCAAATTTCGATAGCCTATTCAAACTCTGTATTTCTCACCGTCAAATAATTCTCAATCTTCGAGTTTCTTTACAGTGCATCTGGAAAGTATTGATAGCACTTCACTTTTCCCACATTTGTTATGTTACAGCCTTATGCCAAAATACATTTTATTCATTTATTTTTTTCAAAACTGTACACACAATACAATAATGACAATGTAAAAAAAGTTAATTTGTTAAAAATAGAATAGCTCAAAAATCACATGTACATAAGTTCATACATTCTCTTTCCAGTGATAATTCTTAAGATATTTCAGCAGCTTAATTGGAGTTCACCTGTGGTAAATTCAGTTGATTGAACATGATTTGAAAAGGCATACACCTGTATAGAAGGTCTTAGGGTTGACAGTGCATATCAAAGCACAAACCAAGCATGAAGACAAGGCATTGTCTCTAGACCTCTGAAACATGATTGTCTCGAGGCACAAGGCTGGGGAGGGTCCAAAAAAAATTCTGCCGCTCTGAAAGTTCCAGTGAGAACAGTGGCCTCCATCAGCCGTAAGTGGAAGATGTTTGGAACCACCAGGACTCTTCCTAGAGCTGGCCGGCCGTTTAAGCTGAGTGATTGGGGAGAAGGGCCTTAGTCAGGGAGGTAATCAACCCGATGGTCACTCTGTCTAAGCTCCAGCATTCTTCTGTGGATAGAGGAAAACCTTACAGAGGGACAACCATCTGTGCAGCAATCCACCAATCAGGCCTGTATGGTAGAGTGGCCAGACGGAAGCCACTCCCCACCTGGAATTTGCCAAAAGGCATCTGAAGGACTCTCAGACCATCAGAAACTCACTTCTCTGGTCTGATGAGACTAAAATGGAACTCTTTGAAGTGAATGCCAGGCGTTATGTTTGGAGAAAACCAGTCACCGCTCATTACCAGGCTAATACCATCCCTACAGTGAAGCATGGTGGTGGCAGCATCATGGTTTGGGGTTTCAGCGGCAAGAAGTGGAAGACTAGTCGGGATAGAGGGAAAAATGAATGCAGCAATGTACAGATGAATGTACTGCAATGTGGCTTCACAGCAACTCGGTGAATGTCCTTGAGTGGCCCAGCCAGAGCCCAGACCTAAATTCTATTGAACATCTCTTAAGAAATTTGAAAGTGTCTGTACACCATCGCTTTCTATCCAACCTGTTAGAGCTTGAGCGGTACTGCAAAAAGGAATCGGCAAAAATTCCCAAGGACAGGTGTGCCAAGCTTGTGGCATCCTATTCAAAAAGAATTGTGGCTGTATTTGCTGCCAAAGGTGCATCAACAAAGTATTAAGCAAAGACTGTGAATACTTATGTGATTTTTCAGCTTTTTTATTTTTAATAAATTTGCAACAAATAAAAAAAAAATCACATTGTCATTATGGAGTATTGTGTGTAGAATTTTGAGGGAAAAAATAATTTAGTCTATTTTGGAATAAGGCTGTAACAAAAAAATGTGGAAAAAGTGAAGCGCTATGAATACTTTCCAGATGCTCTGTATTTTCTTGAACACTATTTTTGACAATTTTCTGACATTTAAAGGAAAATTGAAAACATTGACATCCACAGAAACAAATACTATGGATGTCAATGGTTACAGGTTTAAAGCTTTCTTTAAAATATCTTATTTTGTGTCCACCAGAAGCAAGAAAGTCAAACATGTTTGGAACAAGTGGAGGGAAAGTAAACGTTGACAGAATGTTTGGGTGAACTACCCTTTAAAGAATCTGAGTGTTTGATGTGAGAAACCGTTCATCTGAGGATCTGTAGTGTTGTTTCATATGTAAAGATTCAACTTTTATATGTGGTAGTAGATGAAAACCTTCTGTGAGTCAAAGCTATAGGTAACAGGTTTGTAAAAGAACGACCAAATGTTTTTAACATAAACGGACTGCTGTGTCAACATAAAGCAAATGCACCCCTTATGACTTTAACATCAACTCCCAAAGCTTGTCTTTAACTGCTGTGTTTGATGTTTGCAAGCAGCACATTATAGTTAGTGATGGTGTGGCTGGATATATCCCCATGGCCAAACCAGTTAAATAAAACAGGGTGGTCTCTCCCCAAGTCTGACTTACGATGGATTTACTTAAAAGTAGTTGGGATTTATGGTTTGAAGTTCAGTCTAATGAACCGGCTAACAGTCCGGTGCTCAGATATGTGGTCACTATAAGTGAGTTTCCTTTAAGGTCACAGTCTGGTCTAAATTAAGACTTAAAGAACAGACTGAACCAGTGTTTATAATAAGTCACTTCTGAGAGCATTGTAAAACAGCTGATAAACACACATCTGTGGCCACAGACAGCCTGATCTCACGAGAAAACGTAAGTATTTTATGTTTTGGCAGTTTAGTGGCTAATTCGTATGAATTTGTACGAGTTCAGTCGTAAGAAAATTTACGATTTTAAAAATGAGGCGTGGCACCTAAACCCAACCGTCATTGGGGGATACGCAAATCGTACTAAAATGTACAAATTAGATCGTACGAATTTGTACGAATTAGCCACTAAATGAAAAAGTTACGAATTGCCGTGAGATTGTGTTGCCACAGATGAGAATTGCAAAGATTGCTGCGGTACAAGGGTCAAAGACAAAAAAAGGGTTTTGAAGCATCGAAATAATAAAGCTTTACTGTTTTTCTTCTATAAAAGAATGCGTCCTCTTGAGTTTTTTTTCCAGAGCAAAGAGACTGACTGACATGTTTTAAGCTAAATAGTTTATATAACAACAAACTTACTATATCCTTGCAGCAGGTGTAATGGTATTATGCCTGAAAATAGTCCCTAGCTTGGTAACTGGGTAACAATGCTGCTTAACATCATTGTGCCTGCTGCAGCCATGATACTGCAGCAAAGTTCCAGATTATTATTTCAGAATGAGACTATAGTTCCTATATCAGCCTAAAAATAGCAACTATTTATTTTCTGTTGGTCTTAGTATGCGATGTAACTTTACAGAAAAGTCAAGTTGTCACTTTTTAGATTTTAATTTGTCAGATGCTAATGGTCTGTTCCAGTGGTCCTCAAACTTTTTTCATCAAGTACCACCTGGGAAAAAAAATTGTCTCTCCAAGTACCACCATAATGAGCAGTATTAAAATACAGCGTAGTAAGCCCAGTAAAGCAGCAACAGTTCTGCACAGTTCAAAAACGTGGCAGATTAATTCCTGTTATTAAGAATATTTATTATTGTCAGCCACTTTGAACAAAAATAGTCTGAACATTCACACTGTACTGTGCTTATATGTAAAAAAAAACAAACAAGCTAAAAAAGTCAACTTTTAAATAAAATGTGTAAAAGGTAAAAAGAAAAGTGCAGTATTTAAATATAAAGTATTAACATGTAGTAGCCAATTCATCAACACCTGAAAATTTTGCCTGGACCTCAGAAATATTGGCTATATGTCATATAATGAATATTATTACTTGTCATATTCATATGTAAATAATTTTTGATAAATTTTGAAATATCTGTAGCATGTACATATTACATATTTGATTCCTCCGCTTATCACTAGAAGGAAGCCCGCGTACCACTAGTGGTACATGTACCACAGTTCGAGAACCGCTGGTCTAATCCAATTCAATGATTTATGCTAAGCTAAAAGATTGGCGGATTGGAACTTTAACTCTAGCTGACTTTTTCAAAATAATTGAAGTGTTCATTAAATAAAAACGCTAAAAACAATATTACCGTCTTCTGGTCATAACTGCACAATAGGCCCAAAGATAAGGGTTATTTTAAAATCATTTCTGGTTGACTAAACATAAAATAGGCTTAAAATTATTTATTTAGATTGAAATTATTTTATTATGAGAAAACAATTTAGGAAAGCCATATTGGCCCAAAAACAGCAACTTTTCATTTTCCGTTAGTACAAGGTGTAAGTACAGAAGGGTCGAGCTTTAAATAGTAAAATTATCAAAACATTTGTTGGAATTGTATTTGTGAGTGAGATGCAAATGGTCTAATCTGATTCAATGGTCTATGCTTAGCTAAGCTACAAGAGATTGGCTGAATCAATAAAAAAATGCCAAAACTTTTAATTCTAGGGGACTGTTAAAAAGCAATTGGAGTGTTTATTTAATAAAAAAGAGCTAATTAACTAAATAACATAATTACAATATAAATTACCCATTTGTAAACAGTATTGTGTTGTTATCTGGTCGTAACTGCAAAATAGGCCCAAAGTGTTATTTTAAAATAATTTCCGGTTGCTTGGCCAAGAAATATTATCTAGATTGAAATTATTTTATCATAAAAGAAAAAACAAAGAAAAAAAAAAGACATATCGGCCTAAAAATAGCGTCTCTTCATTTTTTGTCAGTCTTAGTAAACTTAGTAAAAAGAAAAAAATATCAAAACTTTGTGGAATGGATTGAGCAGGATGCTAATGGTCTAATCAAATTCAATGGTTTGTGCTGTGCTAAGCTAAAAGAGATTGGCTGAATGGATACAATAAAGGCAAAAATCAACCTTTTAACTCTAGCTGACTTTTTTCAAAACAATTAGAGTGTTCCTTTAATAAAAAGCTAATTAACTATATTACATAATTACAATAATATGTAAATTACCCACTTGCAAACAATAATATGCTCTCATCTGGTCACAACGGCAAATTTGGCAAAAATAGGTTTAATCTTCAATAGTTTCTGGTTGACTAGGTATGAAATGGCCATAAAATATTATTTTGACAAAAATTATTTAATTATGATACCAAATAGCAACTTTTCATTTTGTCAATCTTAGTACACAATGTAACTACAAGAGTCAATTATTGGAACACTTCTATTTGTGAGTGAGATGCTAATGGTCTAATCTAATTGTTTATGCTAAGCTAAGCTACAAGAGAGTGGTTGAATGAATAAAAAAAGCCAAACTCAACCTTTTATATCTAGTGGACTTTTTAATAATTTTTTTATGTTATTATTATTGACTAAATCACCACATTGTTTTCTGTGTTTTGCCTGCAGAGGGAGCCAGAGAGGGAGGAGCAGCTCGACCCCAGCATGCCCCCGAAATTCAAGCGGCATCTGAATGATGATGAGGTCACCGGCTCCATTCGCAGCGAGCGGGTAAGTCACTGAGTCACTTCTTAACATATAGATTAACCAGGAGGTGATGTCAACATGGATATGAATGGTCTACAGTCCTTTTAGCTGACCAGAGCCAATCCTCTCAGCACTTTTTACAACCCCATCATGAACCGCCGTGATCAGTTTATGTTGTTTACAGGAGGAATAAACAGCTATTCTCTAGAACACATAAATGCTTTCTGACATAACAAGCCACTTAGATGGCGGTGTTTATGTTAGTACACGCATTTACACACAACATTTCAACTCCAATGCTGTACAGCCCTACAGAGAGCTATTTGTTCCTAACACTGTCAAGCAGTTGCCACATGTCATAATAGTAGAGGATAAACTGAGGTGGGAAAGAAATGAAATGGATGGAGAGACAAATACACACAAAAACATGAAACATGAGTTGATTCTTTCAATTTAAAATAATGTGGGTTTTTTTTCTTCTGTTTTTAATTTTTTAATTTTTCTGTAAGTTTTTGTTTTCAAGTGTTGTTGTACAGTTTTAGACAATGATTTAGTTTTTAAAACTACAAAAAAAAAAAAAAAAAAATATATATATATATATATATATATATATATATATATATATATATATATATATATATATAATTTTAGAAATATTAGAAACACCAAACACCATCTAGGCCCAATCCCAGTTCTACCCCTTAGCCCTTTCCCTTACTCCTACATAGTTATATACATTAGATGTCACCTAGCCTATTGTTGTCTATTGGACGGAATGCGTCAATAGCGCCGCCATCTTGGTACAGGGTAGCGCTCCTTCGAAATGAATGCGGGACCAAGGTACAGTGGAGGACTGTAGCCATCCAAAGCCAGAGATATACACACATACACATATATCTATAATCGGGACGGGAGTTTTCCTGGATGTTAGTATCAGAGGTGGGACCAAGTCATTGTTTGGCAAGTCACAAGTAAGTCTCAATTCATTGCCCTCAAGTCCCGAGTCAAGTCCCGAGTCAAGACAGGCAAGTCCCGAGTCAAGTCCCAAGTCAAAGGCAACAAGTCTCAAGTCAAGTCCAAAGTACTATAGTTTGATTTTCGAGTCTTTTCGAGTCTTTTTAACAGAAAAATAAAATTTAAACAGATTATGTATGTCTGTAAGATCTGTATTTATTAAACAAACCTTTTTTTTAATGAAAGTACATTGCTTAGATATATAAAGATACAAATGTAATTTTCTGAAAAAGTGCTAAACAGTGCTGCATCTCGTCTACACAGTCTATTGCACAAGAATGAGTTCCACCAAAAAAAGAGTCCATTTTGCATCACATCACACAGAAATTGCAGGTCTACTGCTGTATAGTTCATTAAGTTAAGTTGTGCTATGTTATGTCTTCAGTGATCAACTTGTGATTAACTAAAACTACATAAACAACCTCAATGAGGCAGCAGTGGACCAACAACTCCTGTATGCTGCAAAGTAAAATTGAGTGAAATTGGTATTTTGTCAATTGAATCGCGTGTGTGCTAAAGAGATGGAGATGCAAATCTGTCTAGCAGCAATGTAAAACGGTAGCACATATTCTAAATGAAGTAGGCTACTTCATACAAACAATAACGTTGTTTTCTTCACATAACAATGAAGAACTTTGCTCTCTACCTTGTGTGACGCTCGTGCACCGATTTCCTCTGTGGACAAAACTGCTTACGAGCTCTTAAATATACGCTGCTCACGCGCAAATTTTCTCGCTCTCAAATATGCACTGCTCACGCACACATTTTCCTGCGCGCTCTCACAGATTATATATAGAATTTGTGTCTTGTGTTTCCTCTTCCTTTTGTGCTTTTTGATATGATTTATATTGAGGCACTATTTATTAACAATAATCAAAATACTAAAATAGACTTACATATTAAATTTTTTATCTAATAAACCATAACATTTTGGCTGTATGTTTTATGATGAGATATTTCCAGTTTCAAACACTTAAAGACACAGAGAATAGAGGCTGGATGTAAAGAATGCATTTTGTTTTACAAACATTTATTAAACATCCAAAAGGTGCACCATACTAATCAAATAAAAAACATTTAAACAAAATTATAACTAACGCAAGCAGAAATGTAACTGTGATAAAAATAAGGAAAAACTTGATTTGGCATTATAGCCTACTGTACTATTCACTCTTTAAATAAATCTCACTATCAATCGCATTTTATCATGGCAACTAAAATAAAGTGAACTAGTCTCTGCTGTCTTCCACATTATTGATGAGATTGTGGAGGACATTTTCCATGTCATCCTCTTCATTTTGAGGAAAAGCTGTTCCACAGGGCCCCTGAACACATCTATTGGCATGGACAGGCTTTTGAACAGTACTATAGTAAAGTACTTTAATTAATCTGTTGGGGTAATATTATAGTTGCTATGGTAACACAAGTGTAATATAAACAAATGACCCAGTGCTGTAGTTTTTTTTTTACAGTATTGGGTATATTAAACTACAATTCACCACACTTTACTGTAGTAAAACTACACTCTGTATTTCATTTTATTAGTTCACTATTCTTAATACTACAGTATGCTGAAGCATTCATTAACAACTTGTAAATAATACTAGGCTTAAACATAGTCAGTATACCTAACTCTCAAAAACACTAGTATTTATTATAGAATTTACCTTAACCTCATAGTTTTTAGTGTATTGTTACTAAATAGTTTAGCAATATATAAACCATATCAACATTCTGGAATAATCAATTTATCAGGAGGATCTCTGGAGAGCAAAAGCAGGAAAATTATGAAGCGCCAGTGTGGACAAAACTCAAGCAAACGCAGAGAGACTGAATACGCGCGTGAGAGACCAGCAAATCAGATTGAAGTACCTGCCCACTGGTGAAAGTAATGTCAGAGCCAATCAGATTTTTCTTTCTTTTCATAAAGAACGGGGTTCGAATCCCACTTAGGCACTTGTAAACAATCATTTTAGAACATTTTGTCAAAAATCACTACTGAAAAAACAGCTTAAACCAGCCTAGGCTGGTTGGCTGGTTTTAGAGGGGTTTTGGCCATTTCCAGGCTGGTTTCCAGCCATTTCCAGCCTTGTCTTAGCTGGTCAGGCTGGGAGATGACCAGCTAAAACCAGCTATGTCCAGCTTAAACCAGGCTGGTCAAGCTGGTTTTAGCTGGATTTTGCTGGTCAGTTTCCAGCCTGACCAGCTAAGACCAGGCTGGAAATGGCTGGAAACCAGCCTGAAAATGACCAAAACCCCTCTAAAACCAGCCTGGTCAACCAGCTAAAACCAGCTTACCAGCCTAGGCTGGTTTAAGCTGGATTTTTCTGCAGGGATATTGTTATGTTTTACCATTTATTAGAGCCACAAAGTATCTAAAACTTGTTTTCATGTTCGAATAGCCAATAAATGTGCTAAATAAATTAAAATAGAAATACCCACAGTGAAACAGTTATATAAATTTAAATATTAGTTTAAATACATTCATAGTGGTTTTAAATATCTTTTAATATGTAAAGTAAAGAAGTTCACATTCAACAAACTGAATAAAACAAGTCTTCGTTTTTAGTTTATTTAAAAACAATTACAAATGGAGTAATTCAACTCACAATTAAATGATCTCATTGAGTGATCGAATAATAAAGGTAAAACCTTAATTGAATGATCAGTCAAGTGTTTCCAAATGAAATCTGTTAAAATAAGAGTCCTACAAAACAGGAACAAAGACACTCATGAAACAAAATGTGATTGTTAATTGTATTTTTTATTAGATGGTTGGTTTTAAGTACTTTAAAAATAGTAGATAATCCTTAAATATAGAGGGGGAAATACAGAAAAACAAACAAACAGAAATTCAACAATATATATGCATTACATTACAATCTCGCTATAAAAAATTTAATTAAAAACCATATAGTGGACTAAAATATTGCTAAGAGGCATAACATCAACAATAATAAAAATACCTTTAAGGTTTTAAATACTAAATAAATTAATAGTATTAATCCAAAATATGAAAAATGTAACACTTTACAATAAGGTTGTATTAATTAATTAAGTTTATGCATGTACTAATGTGAACAAACAATGCAGTGCAGTTCATTACAGTATTCATTATTTTATGCTTTAATTAATGGAAATAAAATTATTGGTTAATTCTTGTTAAATCACAGTGCATTAACATTAATGTTAACAAGCATAACTTTAAATTGTAATAATGCAATAGTAAATGTTAAACTATAATTAATAAAGGTTTAGAAGTATAGTTCATTATTAGTTCATGTTAGTACATAGATTAACTAAAGAAACCTTATTGCAAAATGTCACCAGAAAATAACAAAAAAACTTTTTTTTTTACAGTTTTAAGAGCTTTAAAAATAAATTATATATCTAGTTATTATGGCATGTAATTAATGTTACTACTAATTAAATAGTTAGAAAATACTGTCAGAGGATGGGCAAAACACAAAGATAAAACATAATATGCGCATTGACACAAACGGCCAAGTGCAAAAACATAAATTACAGCCATGTTCATTCATAATTATATGATATAAATCACGAGAGGGTAAATTTGGTTTAAAAAAATTGAAGTTCATTGACTTATACACAACAGTAAAACAATGCTTTTGCACAACAGTAACACATTGCAAGTAGTAAAGTCTCTTACCTTTGACAGATGTTGTAAATCCGCTGAATAAAACAAAAGGAGCAGATCGCGGATGTGATTTCACTCTCTGAGTCAGAATGAAAATGGCATCTTCAAATTTCCCGCTGGTGCAAAAACACGGAAGTGCGCCACAAAGCGCTAGTGGTCGAAAGTATGCGTGCATGCTCTCTGTCACACACACACCCAGAGATAGAGCGTTCCGTGTCAACATACTTTTTATCTTTGGGCTTTTTATAGAAAGTAGCAAGTCTTTACAAGTCAATAGGCGCAAGTCCAAGTGAAAGTCCGAGTCATTTATGTTCAAGTCCAAGTCGAGTTGCAAGTCTTTTTATATTTTGTC